GGTGCTTGAAAATTGCATTACGGTAAAGGCATTGTCATTGTCTCATATGCAGGCCACTCCCCCCTTATTTTGGCCATCCTCTTCTCCCTTTGCTCTTTGCCTTCTCTCCCTCATTTTCTATTTTGGAGAATCATAATCCACATATCTCTTTCAGTTGCATTTAGCCCTTGAAATAGTCTTATTAGCCTTGTTTATGTGCCCTGCCTGTCTATTTTACATAAAAGTAGCCCAGGAGATTCCTGGTCTTGGACTCCTAGGCAAAAACCCACATACATGGATGCCTTTCTACAGTGCATCTGGGAATATGGTATCCTACGGAATAAGAGGAAATTGACAGAGGCTTTCAAAATAAACAAAGACTTCTCTCCATTCTGTGTCTGAGATCACCAGTAAGTCAGGGCTTGAAGTGGACATACCTATTTTTTCCAGTGCTAGGGAGGAAACAGGTACAATAATTTCAAGCCCACTACCACCAGGAAAGAAATCCCTGTGCTACTTTCTTTTTAATTAATACCATTTTTTTCCTGTATGGTCTTCAGAAACTCTGGTAACTTTGTATGATTTTCATAAGCAGTTGTCAGACCAAAATTAATGTCACTTGAATCTGTTAGCAATAATTACATTTATAATGTCTTTTATGGGTTCTCATTTCCCAAACCTCCATTTTATTTTTCTTCTTAAGCTAGACGGTTAGTTCTCTTACTGTACTGTCTACTTGCATCATTACTTTGCTGTCCACTGTATACCCTGGGAAATTTCTCTGTTGACAAGTGGCAGCTGGCACTTGGTACCTAGCAGATATCTAAGCAGCTAAAGTATCCCTGGGAAGATGGTGAGGTTGACAATACCTAGAATTGACATTGTAAAGTTTCCCAGTTGTTCTCTCTCTGACTCTGCTAATATTACTATTCTTTGTCCTCTTTATTTTCTCGCTAGCTTTATCATTACATTCAGATAAATGTTTGTTGAATACATAACTCAGGAACCTGGGTCCCTGTACCTCTAGCATGCTTAAGGACCAGGACAGATCCTGGGGCCTTAGGATGAGAGCTAAGATGGAAGCTTTGTCAGAAGGTGGTTTGGACCAGCAAAGCACCCAAAGTTTTTCTCAACTGTTACCTTTATTTTTTTCCAGCTTTATTAAAGTATAATTGACAAATAAAAATTGTATATATTTAGGTTGTACAGTGTGATTTTTAAAGGTGTACACTGTGATGATTTAATATAATATACATTGTGAAATGATTACCACAATGAAGTTAATTAACACATCTATCACCTCACAGTCACCATTTTTTTGTGTGTGGTGAGAACACTTAAGATATACTCTCTTAGAAAACATCATCTGTCGACTTTCTACCTTCCTTTCCAATAACTGACCACATGCATAGCATGCCATTCTTAAGCCAGTATCCCACTTTCTCTGCATTCCGATTCAAAGAATCTTGGGAGACCAGGGAAAATTTCTACTTGCCAAGAGCCATTCCTCACTGCTAAGGAATAAACAGAACCAATTTGAGACAGAAGTGGCAATGAAAGTGCATTTTCACTGAATCTTTTGCAGCCTTCCTCTCGTTGCCACCTCTACCATCTTTCCATACATCAACTGAGAAAATGGTCTAAACTCTCCTAAAAACAGAAAATCATAGAAGGTCACATGGTCTCAGTTCGTTCAAATTAGGATTGTATCTCTTGCTCTGTTTCTCTCCCAGGAGGCCATGGACACAGGATTGGTATTACTGCTGAGGAGCTATGTATTGTGTGACCATCAGGCTCCATTTGCTGCAAATGGTTAATACAACCTTTCATTCATGAGGCCTATAAAATTCCCATTGTAATCAGTTTCCAACTTATGTCTGGTACTCTGCATTAAATTTCTTTCTTTCTCTGGTTTTCCTCTTGGAAACATCTACCACTGTTCAGCATTCATCTCTGCCCAATTTCTTATTGTCACCAATAAGAAATTATTTTTATGGATGGAAAAGTCACCAAAACTTGTAGCCCAATGCTTGGAGATATCAACAGTGCTACTCAACAGTGTCTCCTGAAGAAAGCTACTTTCACTCTTTATGTACAGGGCTTGCTACTAATGTTTTATATCATCTCAACAAACACTTACAGAGGACCTATGTCAGGTCCTGTGCTAGGTGCTGGAGATACACAAATGTACATGTTTTCTGCCTTTGAAGAACTTTCAGTCAAGTGGAGGAACATAGTCATAATTTTTCCCTCAAATTTAATTTGTTCCATCTCATGCATTCTTGCATTTAACAAATAGTTGAGAGTCTACCAATTGCCAAACACTGAGTTAGGCATTGGTGGTGCTGGGATTAACAAAACAGACATGGCCCTCATGGAGCTTTCTTTTCAAACTCAGGATCTATGTCTCTGGAGGTCAGTGTTTGACCAAGGAGTTGCAATGGCTGCAAAGCATTATAGGTGGTGCTGGTTAAATGCTCAAACTGGCATGACAATTTTCCCACTTTGTGAAAAAAAGATGGTCTCTATTTCCTTAGGAAAGTATTCTGGACCAAAACTTCCTTTTTGGCTGGAAGTGAGTCAAGTACCCACCCAGCCCTAATTTTTGTCTACTTTTCCAAATAGTCAGTAAGGTCTTAGGGGATCCTGAGTTCTTGCTTCAACTAGTTGCTAAAGTCAGACGACTGTCTGATGCTTCACCCAAGTTCATCCCTGACCCTAGGTGAATTGTCACAGTCTACTAAGTAGCACAGGAAGAAGAAATTTTTTAAAACATCAGAAATGTGTTTCCCAGCCAGAGTGATCATAGCTATTCTGCCTTGTGACGGGATGGAAGTGCAGCTAAAAATAACCTAAAATTTATTTGACCAAAGTCTGCCTTCCCTATCAGGAAAGATCCATTCTGTAGCTTTTGCTTAATCATGAGGGAGAAAAACAAACAAGCAAGTGGAACGTGAAACTTCAAAAGAAATAGAGAGAAAGTCTGGATTGTTTGAAATGTCTCCAGAGCCTCTGCACACTCATGGGTGCCTGCTTGGGTGGGGAAGGAGCAGGGAGAGGAGCTGGTTTGGGCAGGGGCTGTGTGTTTTTTTGTAGTATCCCTGGATTTAGGTATCTGTTTGCACATGTGTGTCTGTAGAGTGCCTGGGATAGCATGTGGGCTGTTTGTACTTTGTACAAATGTATATTCTTATGTGCATGTACATTTGTCTGAATGTATTTGTGGATGTTGGTACATGAGTGAGAGTGTGTGTGTGCGTGTGTTCAAAGAGTATCTTCAGTTGCTCTCTTATAAAAATCCTAATCCATCACTGATTCCCAGCAATGTAAAGAGAGAGCTACAAATCCCCGGTGAATCGGGTTATCCTCAACGACCTATGAGCTCTCTGAATATAGGGGTCCCTACAGCCCCTTAATGTAGAGTTGGGCTTCTAAGGAATATTTATTGAATGACCAACTGGCAACAGCTTTGATGCACGCCTGGATCTGAAGCTGCAGGCATTAATAGTCAACAGGTTGAGAGGGGGCAATCTAGATGTACAGACTTTCCTGCTGCCCCTAAGAGAGACCTATCTTGCATCATACATGAACCATACTCCTTACTGAGCTCTCCCTATGTGTCAAGAACTCTATTGAGTGCGAAGGAAGTCAGGAAGACTTGGCATTTGCCCTTAAGGAGTTCTCAGAGTCTACTATATCTCTGTATCCTTCTCTTTATTCCACACTTGAAAGACAAAGTTCAGACCTCTACCTTCCCCCTGCCTGGCCTCAAAACCACTCATGACTCCCTTCCCTGAGAACTAGCCTGCTGCTCCAGCTGACTCCTAGACCTTGCCTGACTGAAGGATGAGCCATGTAAACTCAACATGCCTAAACCAACTCTCATCCTCCAGTCTTTTCCCTCTTGTAGTCCATCCTGTACAGACTGCCAGATAAATCATTCTAAAACAACACTTGTATATGCCCTACTAAAATCCACTCAATGGTTCTGCATTACCTATAGGACAAATTCTATCATGTCCCAACAAAACCATTTGTATTTATCCACAGGTCTAAAGAAGTCTTGTCCTCTGCTAGGTAGTAGTCCCACTGAAGGTAGAGATACAGAAAAAAAATCTAAGTAGTGAACATGCACATTTCATATTTGTTGAACATATTTTTTCTGATTTTAAGGTTTTTGTTTTCAACACAAAGTCACTTATTCAACAAAAATTTATTGAGCATCTAATAACCGCCAGGCATACCAAGTAGATAGTAACTTCTTTGTTTTCCTACATGATAGTTATTCAATCAAATATCTGATACCAGTAGGTATTGATCAGGTGGTCCATTAGGATGGGGTCTCCTGCCTCAACTCTCCACTGCCTTATTTACTTTGGCAGCAAGGGAGAATGGTAGGACAAGGGGAAGTCCTTGCAGATGGCTCATGAGTCATCCTCTTGCTAGCTCTGCTGTACCCTGCCCTATTCCTTAAATCTGCTCTGAAGCTCTCCCCTTGCTCACATCTGTAGAAGGACCAGTTTTCAAAAGTGGTTTTGACTTTTCCTCCCAACACTTTGCATCACCCTGGTCAGTCCATATCCCCAGTGAATAGGGTCTGTTTGCAAGGAATGGACTGTTTAGATGACACCACTGGCTGCTTGACCGAGAGTCCCCACCACAATGCTCTCCTCACATGACCTATTCGTGCTAACATATGTGTGGTGTTGGCAAAATGTGAAGGGAGAGGTCGGGGAAAATTTAATTGAGGAGAAGAAGCCAAGCTGAATTTTGAAAAATGTGTTGTGGAAAGAAGGGAAGGGTACTCCTGATGGGGGTATATGCTTTATATGAGAATAGGTGGGGAGAGCAGAGCAAAAGATGGATTTGGCTAAATATAGGATGGTGAGGGTAGGGAATTCATATGAGACAAGACTTCTCCTTAGAACATAGCTACAAGGCCCTGCTGTAGGAAAACCTCAATTTTTTCTTTGATCTGTTGCATCATCTTTCACTATTACCTTTGTAGGAACTGTACTTACCATGTCAGTGTCTGACACAGGGCCAAAACTGGTCACGTAGATGTCAGTCTTCACTTCAGTCACTGCATCTGGACCAAAGAAAGTAGAAAAGCAGAGTATCATGAAAGCCTGTTGCCTTAGTTCACAGAGAGTCCAGTGCAGTACTTCAAATGACAGCCAACTTGCTAGTTCTGAGAAAGGATACTTAACACAGTCCTAGGAAAACTCCCCAAAAAACTCTCACCCGTACTATTTCTTCATGGAGAATATGCTAGGTACAGGTAGAAAGTCCAACAACTTCAGGTATCATTGAGAATGACAGTAGAAACCCAATCCAAATCTTAGGGAGAGCCCTTAGAGATCTCTAACATTCACACGTGCTGGGCTCTCACACTAGGATTATCATTACCTCTGGTAATTTCAAATGTTCCATATCCAACTCTCTTCCACTTCCAGGAACACAGGTTGACTGCAGTCCCACTCCCCTACCTGCTTAAAGTAGGGAGGGGCCATGTGACTGGTTGTGGTTGTAAGAGGAAGTAATATGTGTCCCTCCCTGGCTGGAATAATTTATTTCCAATGCAAGACCCTCCCTGCCATGGTCATCATCGTAACATATGTTGATATGGAACCAAAATAAGATTGAAATGGCCTGGAATGATGAGCTAACACATGGAGGACAATTGCCCTGGAGAGTTGCCTGGATCCACAATAGGCTTTGAATGAATGAGAAATAAACTTGTGTTGGGCTAAGTGACTGAGATTTGGAGATGACTGATATCACCGGATATACTCTCTTTGCATTTATTTTCCTTTATTGTAACTGTTTACTTGTCTGTCTTCCCAATAACCCAAGAACTCCTGAAGGGCAGTGTCTCTGTTTTGTCATCTCTGTATCCTCAGTACATAGAAAAGGAGCCTGTTACTCAGATGACGCTCACTGAAAATTTTTGGTAGGAATGGATGAATCTCATCATATATTTGCCAAGTCGGAAAATGATATCCAGATAAGTAAAGTTATTCCACTGCTAAGTTTCTCTTTTCCTGCTTCTGTCAGCCCTGTTTACCCCATTGCAGCCCAGACTAGCCTACCCACTCCAGCATACCTCAAACAGCACAGAGCAGCCTATTCCAGCCTAGCAAAGCCCATTCCAGCCTAGCAAATACCTCATCATTACAGTAAATTCAAACAAGTGCCACTCCAGCTCAGCATATCTGACCCCTAAAGTCCACACAAGACTTGATGTATGTATATAATGAGGCTGGTTACTGCAGTCTATGGCACTATTTCTTTTCTCTAATGAAGAGGTAGGGAACACACCTACTCCATCTGTAGCATATTCACTATATTCATCCAGTCCTAGGTTCTGGCCCAAACGTACTTTAGATCTTGTTGAATCCACACTTTTCCGAGCCATCCCTTAGGCTTAATACACTATTCCCCTACTCAGGCACTGAGTATACTCAAGGCCACTGCATGTATCCACAAACATTCCATTATCAGAAGAGTCTGATATTTCAGAATATCATTTAATAATAATCAACACTATAGTCAATTCACCAAAATATACAATTTACTCCCAAGCTTAATCAGCAAATGTCTCTGAAACTAGAGCTGTGTTTTAAATAGTTGGGCACTCATCTGGAGCACAGGCTTCCCTTGGAGCCATTTCTGTACTTGAAGGAGAAGAGACAACACTTCAGAACCCAGAACACACCCCCTAAAGACTTGTCCCTTCAGATACACTGCCAGGTTCATTAGCTAGAGAAGCATTGGTGTATTCCCAAGTACATAAAGCAAAATTAATTAATTAATGGGAGAGACCACAATTACATTTGAATCCAATATTCTAGGCAGGACATAGACACAGAACAACTTTATAAACCAATATAATTGTAAAATTGTAAGATAGTTATGCAGACTAAAAACAGGGGACCCAAACTACAGGAAAAAAAGAAGAGAGATAGTGGTGGTAGTCAAATGGCAAGAGACTGTTCTTCCAAGGGGAGAGTGGAGTCACTGCACATAGAAAGGGAAGTGGCTATAACAAAGTCTTGGGTTGGGATGGAAAGGCTTGGCTTCTGGATCTCTGCCCCTGACTTGCTGAATACCTTAAACAAGACTGTTTCCCTTTTGGCTGCTCTCTTGTACAATGAGGGTTTGGGACAAGCCAGATTCTGAATTTTCTCTCTGTTCTAACCAGGAACTCGGATTGCAGGGCCAAGCAAAAAGCATCTGACTAAAGGTGCCCAATGGTTGCAAGAGGAAAGCTTTCTCTGCTGTCTGAGGAAGGTAGGAGGTTTTATGCAAATCTGGTGCTCCTTCTCTCTCTCAACTGTTCACCTTCATTTAAAAAGCACCCATTAGAGCTGGACCAGTGGTGCAAGCAGTTAAGTGCACGCGCTCTGCTGCGGCGGCCCGGGGTTCACCGGTTCGGGTCCCGGGTGCGCACCAATGCACCACTTGTTAAGTCATGCTGTGGCAGCGTCCCATATAAAGTAGAGGAAGGTGGGCACGGATGTTAGCCCAGGGCCAGTCTTCCTCAGCAAAAAAGAGGAGGATTGGCATGGATGTTAGCTCAGGGCTGGTCCTCCTCACAAAAAAAAAAAAAAAAAAAAAAAAGCCCCCATTGCTTTTAAGGATTGCTAAGAAGGAAACTGTGGGGAGAGGTTGCTTTCTCAATGAGTTGGGGCTCAGCCAAGCTTCAGAACTTTCTCTGGCTTTGCAGCAGGGAAAGAGATTCAAAAAGTTTGGTCTGGTACACTGGGCGCCAAATCCCTTCCTCTTCCATTTCTGTCCGATTTGGAAAGAATCTGGCAGATAAGAGAATTAGGGGAAGTACTGTGAAATGAAGAGGAGGGAGAGTAAAGAAGAGGAAAGAAAAGGAGAGAGGTAACTAGAAGAGGATTAAAGGAAAAAGCAGGAAAGAAAGGACGAATGGGAAGAAGTAAGACAAAGAAAATAGAGGAAAAGAAAGGAATGAGGAAGAGGAAATAAAACTAACTAAACAGAGAGCTACTAAGCAAGAGATAGCAAGAGCCGAGAATGAGAGAAAAAGAAAGAGAAACCAAGAGAAAGAAAAATGCCAAGAGAAAAAAAGAGGTAATGCTCTTTTCACCAGAGGAGCCAGAAATCTCTCATGTAGTGGGATGTGGAGACAGGAATTGTTACTTGTATCATGGCAGCACAAGTAAGGGAGGGCTCTGAATTTATGTTACCATCCTTAGATCTTTGGCCCTCTACCCTAAGGCTAGGCAAACACAGGGATATTTGTCATTTCTCTAGTCTTCCATACAGAGACCACCAAACCCTTATGGCCAAATTTTCTGACTAGGAAATCCAGCTGCCTTGGAGCAGGGTATGTGACAGCACACAGAGAAGTACCCTACAGAAGTATGGACAGTGGTTAAAAGCTTAACTAACTGGGTTTGAATTTAGGTTCTGCCATTTACTCTTTGTGTACCTTTTATCACTTAACTCCTTTGTGCCTGTTTCTTTATCTGGAAAATTGGGATAGTGATAGCACCTACCTCAGAATTGCTCTGAGGATTTAAGAAGATGGTATTTACACCAGTAGTTAGAACAGATCTAGTGTTTTATATACGTTAGCTGCTGCTGTTGCTTAATATTATTCTAGAGGTGAGATGATATGAGCCACTCATAAGGCCAGGTGGACAGAACTCACCCAGAAGTCTAAGGTCCTGGGTCTCAGATATAGAAGAGAGTATCTACCCACCACTCCAGCTCTTCTGTGTGAAGGAATGATTAGGAGTTTGCTATTTCATTTAACTAAATGAAAAGACCAGTGAATAAGACTAAAACTGGTGAGGGCTACAGTTCATAGTCTAACCACTGTTCACAACCTTCTAAGTTGAGACAAATGTGAAACATGAACTAATGAGCGATAAGACGGCCTTTTCCCCCTTTTATAAACAATTGTTTTCAGATACTCTTTGGTTCTTTCTTTATTTGCTTTGGGAATCCAATTTCCTTCCAATGTTACCCTCTGAAACCAAAGGTGAATAGAATTATCTTTTCCTTTTGCAAATTCACTGTGGTATTGGAAATGCTTGAAAATTCCTATAGTTATATGAACACACACGCCCTTAGTGCTCAGTGAGACTCTCACTGGCAGGGAACTCATTAACCAGTCCCTACGTCATTTCTGCCTGCTTTTGATCTGAAAAAGTAAAGATAAGCCAATCAGCAAGTTATCACTGCGTTTATTTATATTGAATATGTTGCTCATAACAAACTATATCTTCTAGTTTGACTTCAAATAAATCCCCAAGAAACCTTGAATTTTCTCCTTTGAGCAGAAACCAGAGTAGGTTCCCCAACTCCAGCTGCTCCACCCCAGCATACACGTAAACGTTGGTCTTAGTACTACCCTTTAGACCCACACAACAAAGTCTGCTTCTTGTTCTTTTGAGATTTAAAGACCTTCAGAGATTGAAAGAAAGTGATCAGGGTACCCCTAAGTCTGCCCTTCTAGTCTATTCCTTTCCAGACTAAATAGCCTGATTCCTTTGACTGTGTCTCTCTTCTTTTGACATGGTTTTAATCACTCCCACTATCCCCCATTCACTTTCCCCTGACTCAGGTCTGAGTTTTTACTGACACTCTGAAATATGTTTTGTGGTGAAAGTTTGTCACAATTCCATTAGAGACAAGATCATAAGATGAATGATTGGAACAAATACACCTATATCCCTTTATCTCATTATAGGCCATGATGGACTCTTCAATCCTTCCCAATGACAGTCTTCCTAAGAATAGTGAGGCTTTGAGGATTGGGACTTTGGCGAAAAGAACAAAGCCCTGACTTTTCTATTTTATTACTTCCAGATCACTGGGAATTTTGGAGAATAACTGCTTATTGTTGTGCACACTTTCCATCTTAAAGAGAGACTGGGCTGCTGGAAATGAACTCCCATGTGACTAGCTGTCTGGGTCTGCTAGCTACATGGACTTAGGGAGTGGGCTACAGTGATTCATGGATAGGGTCTCACAGATCTGAGAGCTGGAGTGTTCTGTTCTTATGTTAATGGCCTTTCCATTTGTCTTTGACAATCCTTGGGGACTGAG